GCTTAGAAAAAGCAGTACAGCTGGATGCTGTAGTCTCTTGAGTTACTTCAAATGCTAATACATTTTTTTAAGGGGAAATACTACTACATTCTGAAACTTTTATTCTGAGGTGGACCAAGTGGTCTAAATAAAGTTCAATCAAAGTCTTTTCTTTCTAGACACGGTGTGTCCCATTTAATCCTGGATAAATGTTGGTAGAGTATGCCTATTCTCTCCTTCATTTTAGATCACTGAAAGGCAGCTTCCTAAAATTTATCGTCAGTTAATAAAGAAACACACAAAAATTTAAGTACAAGGACTGGTGATTGCCCAAACTGAAAGCTACCAAAATGTCAAAGTAGAAATGAGGGATTGGAAATAGTGGATTCATCCTAAAAAAGAAAAAGGAAAAAAAGTAATCTGCCAGGTGGCCAGAATTTGATTTATTGGGGCTATGTGTTTACTGTCTAAATATGTAATAAATTTAAATAGTAGTAAAAGCATATCGGAATACCTGAGAGTAAAGTGAAACCCAGTTGAGCCTAGATGTCTGCTTTACATGATGCCAATAATCTGAGATGGTTTGTTTGTTTGGAGGTATAATGTGTGTGCTGTAAAGTACATAGAACCTTTAGTATATAGGACATTTTTCTATATAAATATAAATTAATAATGTTGGAGAGAGACCAAAGTTTGAACAGACATTACTGATTGTAAAGTGCTTGATTCCATGTGATCAAAAGAGAGAAGCAAGGACTCTGAGCGTGGCTGGTCTTATCTTGAAAAATCACAACACGATATGTCCATGTTTATTTTCTTCATGTTTTTCTGACTTGTCAGCATTAATTTTCAACAAAAGCAAAATTCTACACTAATATGTGGGACTAGTTATTAACAATAGAGCAGACCAAATGATGCAATAAAAGGAAAACATTCTGCATAGAAGAGCAAAAATAACTAACAGCAATAATCATGATGATGCTAAAGAATGCTAATGAGCATTGACAAGAGATCCTGGGAAGCAAAGGTATTCTAATAATAGTACAGTAACTGGAACAGAGAGCATGGAAGGTGAATTGTGCAAGAGATTACATTCTCAGTGGCAAGAACAGTCTGGCATAGGAAATGAGGAAGTAAAACCATGAAACAATAGATGCCATGTTTTTGAGCAAGAGAAATAACGAAGTCTGAGCAGAGACTTTTTTGCCTTATGGAATTATACTAGCATATGTCTTCTTTTGCTATCTTCATGTTTCTCTAATTTATCAGATGATTTGAACTCAAAACAGTGAACAATGTTTAACAATGATGTCAGTGTTTCAGTGGAAAAAAAGCTAGGAATTTGAAAAGTAAGCTTTTTGCAGACACAAAGATGTCGTTGTTGCTGCTGTTGTGTTTCTAGAATAACTGTATGATTGTTAATTATGAAAATGGATAATCATAGTGGATACAATTTGTCTTAAGGATAGGAGTGCTATGTCACTAAAATACACAAAATGGAGACTATAAGAACAATCACCAAAGTTCAAGATACTATAAAGACTTACTTTCATGCTGCCACATAGCCAAAATATACTGCTGAAAACCCAGAATTGTCTCATGACTGAATAATGAAATAGCCATGTTTTATTAGCTTTATTTAAAACTGTCTACAAGTTGAACAACCTTTGTGAGCCCTTTTTAACACTTTTACAATTTGCTGGAGCAATGATTTCCTTTTTTCTTTGAGCTGCAGTGGCTAATCTGATTTTGGCTTTCTAGTAATTATGTCAATTAATGTGTGCTGAAAGCAATTTCATTTGTTGAAATGGATACCAGGTGAATATATAATTAGTAGAGGGTTGTCTCTTTAAGACTTTGTGTGTGATTTTCCCAAGATCAGCCACAATACAGAAGGGTAGAGTTTTAAATATAAATAATTTCTGGCTAGTGACCAAAATAATGCCTAGTTTATTTCCTGACAGCTGAAATAAACTCGTAATAACTTCCCATCTTCTCCTACCAATCAAGGATACTTTTATAGAGTGACCAACCATTCCAGTTAGCCCAGGATGATCCTTGTATTAGCACTGAATGTCCTCTATCTTGGGAAGTATTTCTGTTCCAAGCAAAACATGACAATTCTTCACTCTAATACACGCAACACATTCATACTTAATGTTTTATTATTAAATACATTTAATGTATAGAAAAGAAAGTTATAATTTATATCTATATTGCCACTGAAATGAAGCAATGACACATGTCGTTCCTTCTAAACTTTATACAGATAATATATAATTCAACAATTATAAAAGCAATCATAGTCACAAGATATATACAATTCTATGTTCATTAATTAACAAATAAATATTCTTACAAAATGCGTATAATTTTAATGAATCCATAAAATTCTAACATATTTCCAAGTTATAAGTTATTTAATGACCCTTCATTGTAGGACATTTATATTGTCTTAACATTTTTTCTATTAGAAATGATAATGCCATAAATGCTTTTGTATGTATAGTAGTCCTCTTCTAAATTTAAGAAATTAAACTTTGTGGGAAACCTATACATGGTAGAATTATGTTGACAACATAAAAACAGCTTAGATTATCAGTATTTTCTCCTGATAGCAAGTTTCTTATCAATTATCCTGCTATTTAAGTCACTATTTCATGAAATCTCCCGGGAATGTGAGTCCATTCTAGAAACTGGGCAATATCCATGATTTTGATAGTTGAAACAACATGTATTTGTTCTGAATGTCAAGAAATTTTCATCAAAAATGAAGGAATGTTTCCTTTTTCCTCTTAGGATCTTTCAAAAGAATAATGGCATTTGAAGAGAAGTGAGGTAACTGGATAATCATAATTCATAATGTCATAAAGAAGCATTTACTGTGTTCCAAAATTGCCAGAGGCATGGAGGCCACTCATTTTTAAGGATAGATATTTGAGAGAAGTCAATTTTAATACTAAGTCTGACCAAATCAACTATTCCTTCAGACTTCCTCTTAGGAGTTCTGAGGCAGAAGCATGAAAATTGAAAAATTCAAGTCTTCATGTATACTACAATTAAAACCTAATACCTGAGTCTACAAACTTATTGAGCACCTGCATTTGGTTGCCCAATCCCGATCCTTTACATTTTATCAAGTGATAAGAAAAGCCATAAGATATGGCTATATTGATAACAAAATAACAAAAGTGTAGTAAGTCCTATAACAGAAATGTAAAAAATGGACATGTCTCCTTGTACATTTGCATTATTTATAATGACAAAAAGATTTTAAACAACCTAAATATCTATCAACAAGACACAAATACACATACTGTCATACAATGAATATGAGGAAACAATGGAAATGAAAGCATAAAAATTATATATACTAATGCCAACAACTTTCAGAAATAAAACAAAGAATACAAAACAATATCAAAGTTTACATGTAAGGCCTCCCTGGTGGCGCAAGGGGTTAAGATGCAAACTATGAAGCTGTTCACAGCCACTGCAGCTGCAGCACAGGTTCGATCCCCAGCCAGGGAGCTACCCACATGGTGCAGCAGACCTCTCCTGCTTCGCCTGCTGTTCCCCTAAGCAGTGTATTTCAGTGGATCCACCTGTTCTGTTCCCCACTCTGTCTCTGGTGAATCCTCTCACTCCCCCACCCACACACACCTCTGGCCTGTACCCCAGTTCTTGTACACATAAATAAAATAAACCTTTAAAAAAAAGTTTACATGTAGATTGATATCACTTACATAAATTTTAAAGTGTGCAAAAGAACAATGCATATTGCTTAGGGATACTTCCAATGTAGTAAAAACAGAGAGAAATGCATGTAATGACAAGCATGGAATTCAGCATAATGGTTCCGGGGGAGGGGAGTCACTAGAAGGAAGGCTGCTGAGTGAGCAGGGCATATTCCCAGGGGAGGTACACTGGAGGGTTCATGTGTCTTGGAAATGTTTTATTTCTTAAGCTACTGGGAGAGTACATGATTATTCATTATACAATCTTGAAATATTTAATAATATATTAAAATATACATAAAATGCCACATAAGCAGAGAAGAGGCTGTTAATTCTAAATGGAAGCAAAAATCTGGATGAGCTGGTATTGATGGATAAATTGGATGTGATGGATGAGCAGAAATTAAGTAAGTCCAGATGGCAGGAAAGAAGATTCTGGGGGGATGGACCAGCATGGGCAAAGGCATGGAAGTGTTCTGAACAAGAGCTAGCTTAGGATGCACAGAAACATATATGCTGTAATAAGGAAGCTAGTTAATGAAACTAGAATCAAACTGCAAAAGGCCTTGAGCACAGCAGAAATGTAAAATAATTACTAGGTTTTACAAATAGGAGCTTGAAATGAGGGCTGGGTTATAATTTATTACTTACTTCATGTAATTCTAAAGGAGTCATAATTTTGTCAACCAGGATGTCACCTATCTGAATCTTATCCCTTTTTTTAAAAAAGATTTATTTTATTTATGTGTACAAGAAGTGGGGTACAGGCCAGAAATGTGAGAGGGTGAGAGGATTCACGAGAGACAGAGCGGGGAGCAGAACAGGCAGACAGGCCAAAAACACTGCTGAGGGGAGCAGTGGGAGAGGAAGGAGAGGTCTGCTGCACCATGTGGGTAGCTCCCTGGCTGGTCGAGAATCAAATCCGCACTGCAGAGGCTGTGGACAGCTTCACAGTGCTGTGCCCAACCGCCTGCGCTACCAGGGAGGCCCTGAATCTTATCCTTTTAAATCCATATAGTTCTTCAAATAAAAATAAAAACTCAACTCATTACAAGTCATCTACCAAATCCAATAGAGAAGCGGATCCTTAGGCTTATCACCAGCAATTAATGTGGAGATCTCCCACTGGTCACTTTAAAGGGTCAGTTAAAGTTTTTCTTATTATCTATCAGTTTTCCCGCCTGATCATGGAGTGACTCAAGTGAAAAACAATGCCCTGACTAGGGGTAGGAAGACTAGTTGGTTTTGTGAAAATCTAAAGCTTGTTTAATTTGCCAGAACTACCTTTTTACATGATCATCACTTGGTCACCAGCAGGTATCTTTCACTGGTTTCATGTGGCAGAGTCTGAAGAATATGGGTTGATCAATGTGTCATTCATCGGCGGCACCTGCAGAGATGATGAAAGTTTATCGTACAATATTATGGAAAGCGGCACAACATTTAGCAAATTGAACCACACATTTCCTCCTTAGCCCCCCCTTTTTGAACATTAAAACTGCAGTTTGAAAAACAACTTCTAATGCAGAAAAAAATTAAAACAGCAGGTGATAATTAGGGCAAAGTTACAACAATATTATTGCTGATGGGCTACCTGTCAGTTAATGCAAGCTATCACTTCTCCCCAGGAACAGTTATTATTAAAAACAACTTATGAAGGTTAAAGAAGGGATGTTAAATGTGTTAGTCTCTCCATTTGCTCATTTGGAAATGACATACAGATAGAATCATTAACCATTTCAGTTCTATGTTGGCCTCAGGGCAGACGCACAGAAAATAACTGAAAGTTACAAATGTCTAAAACATAAACCTTAGCTACTTTGATTTAAAAAAATCAATCCTCCTTATGAATTAAATTCCAATTATATACCAATATGTAATATCAAGAAAGATGTATCAATAATTGCCACGTTGGCAGAGGGCAAAGTGTAAGAATAAGAAAGATATAAAAATTTCATAATTTACAAAATCTGTTACCAAAACAGCTATTGCTGGTGGAAGACTCAGAGTTCACTCGTTGAGCTGTAATAACATTCTCTGACTAGTCAAGGTTGAATGTTCAGGATACAGTTTGCGTATTAATCATCAATTCAAATAGAAGGGTGCACAACTGGAGAGGTTCTCCTTTGTTAAGCAGTTTATTCCTGAACACAGATGGAAGTTTATTTTCCTTTGTGTATTTCAGAATAATGCCAGTGTTTTCCCTACTAGCCAAAAATTCTTTTGAAATTACTTCTTTAGCTTTACTCTTCAATAAATACAATCTTTCAGCAATGAATTCACTTAAGCTTTTGCTGATATGAATTATGAGCTCATTCAAACTCCCCATTTCAAGTTTAAGCATTATCTTAAACTTTCATCCTACCCAGCAAGAAATCTGAAGATATACTTATTTTGGTTCACTATACAGTATTTCATTTCATAGTATGTAGTGTTGTGTGTACAACCATAGCTTATTTATCCATTTTACTTTTGATGAACATTTGGATATTGTCATTATTAATACGTGGAAACAAATAAGTATTACACAGGTATTCATGTGTATACAAACAAAACACCCACACATTTATACATAGCATTAATTTTTTTGTGTAAGTATGATATACAAACAGAGAAGTGCATATATCATAATAGTAAAGTTTGGTGAAATTTTCACAAACTGAACACACACCTTCAATCATCACGCACATCAAGAAAGAGGACATGACCAACTCCCCAGATGTCCTATTTATGCTCCCTCCCAGTCATTAGTTCCCTTCTAGGGCAACTCTCCTGACTTCAGATAACATACATGAATGAGTTTTGCCCATTTTTCTACAAAACCTACTCTTGTGTGCATCACTTCTTTCACTTAACATTATGTTTCTGAGGTTCATATATGTCAGTACATTTAGAAGAAGATACCTTATTCACTACTGTACAATATACTGTTATATGACCACATCACCAATTTTTAAATCTATTTTATTGATGATGAATATTGCTCTTATTTCCAGTTTGGAAGTTATTATACATAACTTTATGTATAACTTTTTATTATACATAACTTTGGAAGTTATTATACATAAGCTCTGTGTTGTTTAACATGTATCTTTTGGTATACTCTAGGAATATTCCTAGGAAATAAATTGCTGGGCCATAGGGTTTTCATGTTTTAACTTCAGTAGGTATTGCCAGTTTTCCAAAGTGGTTGTATTCTATACATAGGATTTGACTTCTTGAGGAATCATTACAATGAAAGGCATCTCAGCATAACCATCAAGAGAACAAGTTTTGGTGTTACTTAAACCAACTTCAGGTTACCACTAAATAGATTTGTCACCTATGCTTAATCCTCAGTCTCAGTTTTCTCAGCCGTAAAATAGATATAATAAAACCTTTCTCAAATTTTATGAGAATTAGATGAGATGTTATTTTTAATGCAACTTAGAAGAGTGCCTGGCACATACTAAGTACTTTGCTTATTATATAATGGTTATTAATCATTAGCTCTAGGAACATAGACAATACGAAGAATTAGAAATAAATAGTAGAGATATAATCCACAAACAATTTTAATTCTCTGATGGAAGAAAAGTGAAACTGACCCAAAAGGCATTACCAATTCCAGTGCGCATTACACTTGAACCCTGAAAAAAAATCATTTAAACATTATCCCAAAATGCATTTGCAAATTACTCTTGCCAGAGGCAAGGTTCTTGCATGCAGAGCATTACCATCCATTTCCTCCCCTACCAGACATTACTCTTTAAAGACAAAACTGCCAAGGGCTACTCTGGAAAGTCACTAATATTATACTTTTTATTATATTTGCCAATTTCACACCTTCCTCAACCCAACCCCCAAAGTTGTTGAAAATTGACAGTAATTGCAACTTTAGTCCCGAGTTTTCCTTAAAACTTACCAGTATCTAAGGCATCTTTTAGTCCTGAAACTCCTAAAAATGAGTCCAGATCTTTGCATTAAGTTATAAAGAACTTGCCTTGTTTTGTAGGCATGAGCTTAATAACCTTAGCGTGGATTTCAGCAGCAGTTGGGAAAGTAGCCTAGAAGTTAACCCAGAAGTTATACTCTGTACAGAGATACTGTTTTAGCTAATTGCTCCAGGGGCAGCAGGTGCAGTTTTCTTAGGCAGGTAATTTTGGAAGGTGACACCATGTTCCTAATAAATTGAATCAGATTCCATGTATCTGTCATTATTCTCAAGAAATAAGGCACACAATGTACTTGAAAAGATGTCACCTTTTGAGAAGGCCAGTGGTAGACCTGAAAGGGAACTTTTTGAACATTTAATTGAGCCTCTTTGATTTACAGATGAGAAAACTCCTTATTTCAGAATCTTGCCTAAGGTCAAATGGTTTGTTCTCTGGACAAGCACAAAGCTCAAGTGTTATTCACAGTTCAGTGATTGCTCCTCTTTGCTCTTGCCTCTGGCCTTCCACCATCCTCTCACCCCATCCTGTTCTCCAACACGATTTCATAAAGATCCAGATCCGGGATCCGGAATTGGGGGAAGCTGAAGGAGTGTGACAACCATTAAATTGTCAGGGAAGTGCAAGAGGCAAGGGATGCTCTTCTCCGTTTTTGTTTACCACTGTATTCCTAGCACCTGTGCCTTGTATACAGACCCTGGTAATTGTTAAATGAAGAAGCGAATGAATCAATCTTGGGTGTCAGGTTGCCATATATTTACTGTTTTATCTACCACCTCCACACTAACAGAACTTGAAAACTGATATTCTAAGGAGGAATCATGTGGTACTCGGCTCATTGTGAACAATTCAAAAATGTCAGTTCGTTTTCCTTTTCTTCCTTTGCAAGGACAGGATACTAGGGGGTAAGGTAAGGCATGACGTGCCACGGTGTCTCTGTGCCTGCACAGAAAGTGAAGCCGGTGTCTAACAGGCTGGCGTCTTCCTTATCCGAACTGATCAATTTCAGTGTCCCGAAAAAACGCAGTTATTTTATGCACAGAGGCTGGTCGCTTTTGTTGATCGATTCTGGGCTGCAGTCAGCTCTTGACTGCAACTTTTTATAAGCATCAGCTGGCTACATTGCGGCAGGAGGGGGCAATGCTAGGAAAGCAGGGAAGACACCCCCACCCCAAACCCCACCCCCCCAGCCCCAATAAAGGAAGCCAGTGCAAGCACGGAAGGCGTTTTGCTGGTCTGAAGGGATCGCCGTCTGGAGCTCCCTGGGCCTCTCCAGCCCCGCCCCCTCGCCCGCGGAGGTTCAAGTTCGACCCCCCGACGCTGGGTCTCCAGTTCCCTTCCTCCAAGCCTCGGCGTCCCAAAGGGGACCGCCAGAAGGCGAGGGGGGGCCCGGAGATCTCTCGGGCGCAGGGTCACTGGGCCACGCGTGCGTGGTGCTACCACGTGGGGGAAAAGTTTCCAACTTTGCCCGCAGGCGCTCCCCATCCCCCCCACGGAGCAGAGGCCCGCGCTCGGGCACGCTCTCTCTTTCCCGTGCCCCCCGCCACGCCCCCCACTCTCAGAGAAGGCCCCCCCGTGCCCAGCCTCTGACACGCCTCCTCCCTTCTCAAAGCAGGCCGCCGAGGGAAAATACCGGGGGGGGGGGGGGGTCCCGAGAAGGCGGCCAGGGAGCCTCTGGCGGGCCTGGCCTCAGGGGTGGAGGCACAAGTGTCCCGAGAAGCGCGCGGGGAGCGCGCAGCCGGGGGAGCGGCCCAGACAGGGCGCCGCGGCCCGCCCGAGCCCCCGGCGCGACGGGTGGGATCCCTCAGCGGCTTCCACCCACCCCGCGCCAGTTCAGTCCGGCCGCCGCCGACCCCACGCGGGCCGCCCGGCGCGCCCCCAGCTCTCCAGCCGCGGGTCCCCGCCGCCCCCAGTGCGCAGGCCCGGCCGCCCCAGCGCGCATGCCCTGGGCTCGCGAGCGCGGCCAGCCCCCAGCCTTGTGCTTTCTACACACTCTACAACTGGGGAGGGGGCGGGGGCGAGGGAGCCCGGCCGACCACGTGATCCCGCCGGCCGGGGCCGCGGGGGCGGGAGCGCGCGCCGAGCGAGGCGCGGGGCGGGCGGGGGCGCGGGCGGGCGGGCGCGCGCGCGCGGGGCTGGGCTGAGGCGGGCGGCGGCGGCGGTGGGCCGGCCGCGGAGGGGGAGGAGCGGGAGCTGAGCGAGGCGGGCGGGCGGAGGATGGGGCCGTGCCCGGGCTCCCGCTGCAGCCGCCGGGGGACACGCCGTGCACCCTCCGGCTCGGGGCTCTCACGGCGGCGGCGGCGGCAGCGTTAGCGGCGGCGGCGAGAGCGGCCATCCCGGCGCTTCCCGGCCGCGCTGCTCCCTCGGGCTGGGCG